TTCATACTCACAGAATCCATAGCCTTTACTCTTACCTGTACTTTTGTCATACATCATACGAAAACTAACTACTCTACCTACTGCTGATAACTCTTTTATCAGTGTTGTTTCATCTATATCGAAGTCTATATTCCCAACAAACACACTATTTCCTTTGTTAGCTTGATTGCTTGTCATTAAAAATCTAGGGGTTTAAATTATTTGTTATTTATAAGTTTTAAAAATTTTTAATAGTTTTTTATAAAAGAAAACAGAGGTTAAGTTTATTTTTATTTAGTTAATTCGAATTATTTTATTAGTGATTTAAAAAATCCTTTTATGATGATTTAATTTTTTATAAAAACACTTCAAATTTAAATTCAAATGTTTATTTTTATTAATTTTTAATTTGATTAAATATTTTAATAATTGATTTGATCAAAACTTAAAAATTTTTAAGAATTAAAATTAAAATAAATAAAATTTTATTCTATAAATGTCATAAAAATTAGAGATTTTGTTTTTAAATAATTTTTAAATTGTTATTTGTGTATAATTATTGAAATATAAATTTTAGTAACATTTTAAATAATTTTAGTTTTATATTCAAACAACAGTTTATCTGTTAAATACAATGAAATCTAATAAAAATTAATGATATTTCATAAGTTTTATTAAATTACATATTGAATTAATAAAAAGTAATTTATTTAAATTATTATTTTATTTAAAATTTTAATATACAATTTTTAATTAATTGGTATTTTAATGACCATATAAGATTTTTAATAAAATTTAAAATCTGTTTTATATAGAATTTATAACTGAGAAAATTAAGGTTTTAAAATTATTTTATTAGATCAAATTAAAAAACAATTTTTATTAAAAATCTAATAAAGATTTATTTTAAGATTTATTTAATTACTATGTTTTTAGTAAAATATAGTGTTTATTTTATTTTATTTACGTATTTTTGGAATATAAATTGAAATTTTTATTTTTACCCCATGATTTTTACAAGACTACTCACTATCATAAGTATTACTAAAAGTATAGAAGAATCTGTTACAACAACAGATATAAATAATTCTAATGACAATCTTTATAATATACTTTCAAGTGGAATAGATTTAACAATAAATGGTAAAAGTTTCAGGGGTATTATTTACCCGGGTGTGATTTTACTAGACATTTATCAAAACCAATCAGTATCTGATGACTTGATAACTAAGACAATAATAATAGGAGGAAGTAAATTTAGTCTACAAATAGAAGGATATATGTATTATACTGAGGTTATTATAGAAGGTCAAGCAAAAGCAACATACACTTCACTTTCTAGTGTAAATGTAAAATCTGATTTTCAAGTAAAACTTACCGATTTTCATAAAAAAATATCAAGTTACAGAGTGCAAAGTGCAAGTGGTACTTTAAATGTTCAATTTAATAAAGAGGATAAATCTTTGAAAATAGAAGGTAATTTGATTTTCAATACTGATGAAACATCAAATTCAGATGTTGATAGCAAAAAATATAACACTACTATGAATAACACTACATCTAATAACTTTAATACATTTGGTTTTTCTTCCGTTGATAGTTATCCTGTTATTGAATCAAGAATTCGCTCTCAATTTTCACAAAATGACTTTTTTCCTAATAACACTAGTGATTCCCCTATAGACTTAATGAATTTTGATAATTTCATAGACAATTTAATTGGATGAACTAATAAATACACTTAAACAATTTGTTTAATTTTTGTTTATTAAATTTAATTAAAATTTTTTAATGATATTGATGTGTTTAAAGTTTACTTTAAAATCTAAATTAGATTATTTTGATATTTACAATAAAATATTTTTTAATAATTAAAATTCATTTTGAAATAAAAACCTTACAATTTTTAGTAATTTTATTGTCATTTAAATTAATTACTTGAAAACTTATTTTTTTATAATCAAAAGTAAATTAATATTTATTAAAACTATAAATTTAAATTATCAATTATATTTAATTTGTTTATTAAAATAAAAGAAAGATTTGTTAGTTATTAAGACTTTAATTCATTTTAGATTATATTACATAATATTTAATCGTGTAACTAGTATTAATCCTTCATCTTTGTTTCTAAAATTATTTATCATAGTAATTAATTAATAATTGTGATATTAGTAAAATTTTCTTTAAAAACTTTTTATTTCTAATAGATTCAATAAAGTTAACAGAATGTTTTGTTAAGAAGATCAATTATGTTTCAAATAAATCATAAAATCATGTTTAATTTATTATTTAAAAATAATTTTATTCTAAATGTGATTTGCTTACACATTTAAAAAATTTTATTGTTTTGTTCTTTAAAATCATTTAATTTCTTAAATCATAAAAAAATATAAAACAACTTGTAAAGTTACTTATATAACACAAAAATATTCATATTTAAAAAAGAATCAATATTTCAATATATTTTATTATAAAATGCACACTAGTTTTTATGTTATAATCATGATTTTTAAACAAATTTTGATTTAATAGATAAAGTAGTTTAATAATTAATATTTTTTTTATTTTAAAATCATAAACTTGTCAATTTCCTTATATCAAATATAAAAATTTAAACAATTCCTTTTTATAATCAAAATGAAAATACACTACTTTGAAAATTCTTTTAATTAGTTAAATTGAAAATTTTTTCTTTCTAATACTTTTTATATCAACTTTCTATGTTTTTTATATTTTTTTTAATCTTAGTTTGTTCATTTATTAAATTCTTTGTCATTAAAATACAATTGTGTTTTTTAGATCTTTTAAATGTTATCAAATATTTTGATTAAAATTTTTACCTTAAAGTCCTTCTAAATTATTTTTTTTAAAGTATAAGTAAAATATGCTGATTTATATTTTAACATAAAAATTTTAGTTAATTTTTGATAAAATTAAAAATAATTATAATTAATTTAAAACTATTTATAAACATAAAAAACCACATCATAACTACAAAATATATTTAATTAAATTTTTTGATTACAATAATAAGACTCATAAATTTTATTTTTATAGAAAAATCACTAAAATTAAAAAAATACATTTAACTAGTGATTTAATATATTTTAAAAGTGTTATTACGTACTTAATATTTGATAATATTAATATAAAAAATAATAAATATGTGAATTAATTACATTCTAGTGTTTTTTTAAAATAAATTATTGTTTGTTTTGATTTAAATTTTGATTTTTTGAAATCAAAACATATTAAATATAATGATTTATTAAAAAGCATATATTAACTAAATTAATACTATAAAAATATTTTTATACTTATAGATCTTTTTTTTGTTTATTATTTGTTTTAGGTAATAATTTAAACAAAATTATAAATAAACACAATGACTCAGCAAGACACAGGTAATAGTTTTTTTAAGTATTTAAAAATGATATTTTGTTGTAAAAAAATAGATAACAAGAAGAAAGTGGATAACAAAATATCAATTAGAGAAGATGATACGTGTTCAGAGAGTATAGCAAATAAAAATGTGTCACCATCAAAAAAATG